CTGCTGTTTGTTGTTTCTGTGACTGAATTGTGTCTGCAATTTGGGCAAGAACTATTTGACCTCTTTCAAAATCTGTTAGACATCTGATATTGCTTTAGAAATTCAATTATTAAAGTATTGATTTTTTTTACAGAAACATGTTGGTAATTAGTATTTCTATGAAACAGAATCCTTTTAAATTGTGACTTTTCTATTACTCTAAAATCTGAGTCCTTTTTTGTTAATGTATCCATTATTTTTTCCACCCCATGTAGTACAATGCCAGGTGTACAGTCTGCTTGATGGATGAACTTCTGACTCAGTGAATTCTGCTTGAACTTATTTTTGTTTAGCCCCTTTGTAGTAATTTCAAAAGGATTTAATGACTTAAAGATATCTAATCATCAATAGCTAAAGAGCTGGAAGAAATACTGTATTTTCAAGTGTTTTCACAAGTTAAGGAAATGTTAGCTAATTGAAATTAAGTGAGACCTAAGTAGCACAAAAGATCATCTGATGCTGGACCTTACAATATAACAATATTAATACCAGGGACAATACACATCCCTTTTGTTCTATAGTTCATTAGAAACTACAAATGAAAGAATAGAATAGAAAATTTTGTTTTCTTAAATGAAATCATTCACAGAGACAAACATAAACACATATTTTAACTTCATAAATATCTATTTTTTCTTTGTCAGGCAGCAGCCCATTGACTAACTTGAGATGTAGGTGAGACAACATTCTCAAAATGGCTTCAGTCGGGCTCACATTTCTGTTGCTGATCTCTGCTCTGTGTGGACGTCCTGCTGTAGCCAAGCACCCCAACAGCACCCTACTGTATGACAGAAACAACAGCATCCGCAACTGCAGCTGTGCCTCAGAGATCCAGCACTGCAGCCACGCTCAGGCCAACATTCTGTGCAGCTGCAGGACCATCCCACGCTCCAGCCTCAACTCAGTGAATGTGGGCCTGACCTACCAGGGTGGGCTGACGGTTTGGGTGGAGGACCCTTGGGTGCTTAAGGACCTAGTGAACCACAGCTGTGTGCAGGATCTCCGGCTGGCAGCCTGTGGGAGCAGCCCTCTGCCTCCAGAGTATCTCACCCTCTTTGACCTAAAGAGACTTCACATTTATAACAATGCCGCGGGCGTCCGTTTTCCTGAGCAGGGCCTCACTATCACCACCCTGGAGAGATCCCACGAAATGTCCAATATTCCTCCATTTCAGGTTTCCTTCCTCAACGTTGCTTTGCTTAATGGCATCTCCTTACTGAAGGCATACAGTGTGAAAAACCTGCCTACCATTGGAGAATATTTCCCCAACCTCCCTCTACCTGTTTCTACAGAACCAGCTGAAAGTCAGCATTGTCAAGTGACCTTTATCTACTAGCCTGGCTAAACTGCCTTGAAGATTCAGTAGTTTGGAAGCAGCCAGTGAACTGTTTAACACCTTGAATGCAGATGTTGCACAGCAGGGGACCTGATGAGCTATTATCTAAACAAACCAATGATTAGTTTGATCAATTATGAATTATTCACGTCACTTCGAAAACCTGGACACTGTTATGCTGCAGAATTAGAGTTAGACGCTAATGATATTTCAGATTGCATGGAGATTGCAGGTTCAGATCCAGACTACTCTGACCATAATATTTTTTATGAAATAAATACAAACATATTAGGCTGTAGACATACAACCAAACTTTATGGGAAATGTGTTTGTTTCTTCAGTGTATTTTATACTTGAACCACATGGTACTCTAACCTAATTTAGGCCCTCTTCATAGGCTAAAATAATTACATGTTCACAGGCTGATGAATTCCTATGGGATTTACTACAGACAAAATTGATGATCTAGCACATTTCATAATATGATACAGTGGATTTTTTACAGTAAGATGTTTATTGTAATTATTAGCTAGTGTCCCAGCTCGTGATCACTTGACAATAGAGCCTAATGTGAACACTGACTGCTGACCTTTACTATTTTCTAGGTAGATCAGTTATTTTTCTAACTGGAAATGTTAGCATTGTTTATGGCCTTATGCCAAAAGCATTGATCTATAATATTGTAAATTGTACTACTGCTTTATCTATGTACTGATGTATTTGCTTTTGGGTTTGAAAATCAAATTGTCTGCATAAAAACAAAATACTGTAAAAAATAAGTAATGAAATCCAAACTGCTATTTTTTTGTACTAGAAACAAAGCAACTGGAAATCATTTGACTTCAATCATCTACTATATTTTACCAATTTAGTTTAACTTTTGCTGTGCAGTAAATATTAAAAGTAACACACCGAGTAAATGCATGATGTACTGGAACCTTAGCAACACTATAACAATATATAAGTCTATTAAATTTAAAAAACAAAGTATCAGAGATGTCACAGTACAACTAGCAAGTAATGGGACTGATTCATGCATTAAAGTGGCCATCAAAAGTATTCACCCCCCTTGGCCTTTTTCACATTTTACTCTGTTACAATGTGATAAATACAATCACAATGTATTTATTTGAGATAGTTTTGCCATTGATCAACACAAAACACTCAATTATCTTAAAGTGAAAACAAAATTCTATAGATCCTCCAAAATTAAATATAAATATAGAACAGAAAATAAGTGATTGCTTAAGTATTCCCCCCTTTTACTATGACACACCTAAAAAGACCAAATGTCCTTGGAAGTCACATGATTTTGTTGAATGGAGTCCACCTGTGCACAATAAGGATGTTTCACACGAGTTCAGGATACATATACTGTACCAATCTCTGGGAGGTCCCACAGTTGATTAGCACAGCTCCTTCAACAACTATCAAAGACAAAGGAATTTTTAAAGTAAATCTGGGACGAGGTCATTGAAAAGCACTGATCAGGGGAAGGGAATAATAAAATTTCCATGGCATCACATATCCTTCAACGTACAGTAAGGTACATTATAAAAAAATGTAGAGAATATGACAAAACAGTGAAACTGTGAAGAACAATGACTAAGATGGGAGACACTGTGCATATGACTATTGCCTAAATGCTTTACAAATTTCTGCTTCATGAGACAGTCACAAAAAAGTCACATCAAATCTTGACTACACTTTTCCAGAAGACATGTGAAAGAATCTGAGACCAAGTACAAGAAGACGCGGTGGTCTGTTGAGACCAAAATGTACTATTTTGGTCTCAACGGTAAGCATTATGTTTGGCACAAGTATAACAGTGAACATAATCCTGAGAACACCATTCTACTGTGAAGCATAATGGTGGCAGTATCATGCTATGGAATGCTTTGCTTCATCATTGCTTAGAGGAAAACCTTCGGCAGCCTGCAAGAGACTTGGAGACACTTTATGGAGTGTTTTCTGTCAGTTAGTGGCAAAAACACACAGTTAAATAGATCATGATTCCATATTGAAACAAATAAAATGTAAAAAAAATCCAGGGGGTTGAAATCTTTTGATAACCACTGTAAATGTTATCAATTTGCGGAACAAAACATGTTACTAATCTGATTAAATGGAAAGCAATAAACTTATAAAACAGAGAACTGTTTGAAAAGGACAAAGTTGAAGGGGACAAAGTCTAACCAGACAGCTTCCGAAGCCTTTAATTTAAAAAAAGATTAAATAGGATTTAGTATCAACAATGTAACAGTTTCTGAGTTGTCCTAAAATGCCTTTTGCCAGTTACTTGTCATTGTGGGAGTGATTAACAATGTAGGTAATCAATTAATGGTAAACATTAATAGCTGTTTAACCAGAAACAAGGGCAAGCAGATCGAAGGGCTGCTGCTTAAATTTCTGAGGGTTGAAGTTGTTGTGAACAAAACACTTGATATATTTTTGAAACTCAGAGCTGAGTTTAGAAACAAGTTGACCTAAAGTTGAAATATGATAGAAGGTAAATATGATCTCTAATCTCCAATACTAATTGACCAGTTTACTTGGAGCTCAGTTGTAATCAAAGCCAGCAGACACAGGGACCTGGGTTGGGAACCACTGCTGTAGGTTACACAGAGCTGAGTGTAATGACAATTGCAGTGCTATATTGGGAAACACTGGGTATTCTTCAGAAATGTAAGAAAACAGGCCCTGTAAGTGGTGATTGATTCAATAAACTGTATAATTTTGAAATGCTTACTGTTGCTGAGTCCTTCAGCAATAGAACTACATTTATTTTAGGGGGACACATGTGTAAGAGTCAGGTCTGTACCTGACAGGAACTGTCTGTGGCAGCACTAGAATTATCCTTATAAAGTTCTGCACCTTCAACATTGTGAAATGGCAAGAGTTTGTATTAATTTTTATTGCATATATGTGCATTCCTGGTATGTAAATTACATCTTTTTAAGTTCTTATCACACTTTTCTCCTCCTTTCACTTTACCTCCCACCATTCCTTGGTGTGCAGCCATCACCAAGGATCATCAAACTTAAGACTGACGAACTCCACCAATGCATCATGCACGAGCTGAACACCTCCTACACCGCTTTGGTGTTTCCCTTGTGTCCTTAAAACCTGAGCAGGAATCTAGGCTTATGCAACTCAGCAACTATGACTGTTCAGCCATCTGCAGCAGAAACCAGTTCTCTGAAGTCACCATAGTTGACTGATCAGCCACAGCGATGGGTACACATATTGGAGTGAGATAGAGCATCTGAGAAGGTGGTACCATGACAGCAACCTGAATGTGAACAAGACAAAAAAATATGGACTTGTGGACTTCAGGAGACCCAGATGGAGTCAAGCCCCAATCATTATCAATGGCACAACAGTGGAAACTGTCAGCTGCTTCAGATTCCTCAGACTGCAGATCTCCACCAATCTGCAGCCCAATCTATCATTCAGGATCCCAAAATACTGGCCACAAACTGTTCTCCCTCTTACACTCTAACAAGTGGTACCACATCATTAAAGCATGGACCTTAAGAATAGCTTCCAACCTATAGCAGTATGCATAATTATCAGCCAGCTGTGTAATGCTTCAGAATTCAGTGCACCTCTGCACTCTTTGCTTTTTACTGGCTACTATCTAGTGTCCTGTGTGTTCATTGTTCTGTACTATCTCTGTGTGATTGTCATCATTTATTATTTACTGTTTTGTAATGTACTGTGTACATTGTGTTGTGTTGTCTATTGTATTGTGCATGTCAGAGAAAACAGTGATTTTCCTATCATTAAATCATTATGTT